TTCGTTTTTCCTTTATACAAAATAGTATAAACTCTCAGGTGTTTATTTTTTAATTGCAAGTGTTCAGAGTAGAGAAATGACTCATGCTTCATTGGCATTAAACTCAGAATTCGGAATTTGATTAACTTCAGTTCTCTCTAGCAGTGGGAGGATAGACTTTCACAGTGTTATTATTCTTGCCTCTATCTTTCCACTCTGATTGCGGAGGGAAGCATACAGTACAATTTCAATAGATGAACATGGAAGCAAAAATTGATATCTCTATTTGATATTAAAGATTACATACCCAATAGACATACTGAGGGGCTTATTTGATAATATGACCTCTCTCGTCGTTATCATCAGCTCAGGTTTCTGAGATGCTAACTGGTGGTGTTTTTTTCTGTCAGCGTGTTGACTTGCCCAACAGATAAAGCTAGAACTGCTTCTTCAGCTTGTATAGGGTTTAGTGTACATGAGCCAGCAGCGTGTTCTTGCCGCAAAGAAAGCTAACGGTATCCTGGGCTGCATTAGGAGGACTGTTGCCAGAGGGTCAAGGGAGGTGATCCTTCCCCTTGGCACTGGTGCAGCCACACCTGGAGTGCTGGGTCCAGTTCTCGGCTCCCAGTACAGGAGAGACATGGACATACTGAAGCAAGTTCAGTGAAGGGTCATGAAGATGATGAGAGGGCTAGAGGATCTCTCCTATGAGGAAAGGCTGAGAGATCTGGGGCTGTTTAGCCTAGAGATGAGAAATCTCGTTCATTGTATACTCATCAGCAAGTGTATTCTCTACACCTAAAGGGTTTAGAAAAGACAGAGCCAGGCTCTTTCCATTGGTGCCCCGTGACAGGACCAGAGGCAATGGGCACACACTGAAACACAGGAGGGTCCTTCTGAACATCAGGAGACACTTTTTCAGTGTGAAAGTGACAGAGCACTGGCACAGGTTGCCCAGAGAGTCGGTGGAGTCACCCACCTTGGAGATATTCAAAAGCCATCTGGACATGGTCCTGGGCAACCGGTTCTAGGTGACCCTACTTGAGCAGGGGGGGTTGGACCAGATGACCTCCAGAGATCCCTACCACCCTCAACCATTCTGTGATGCTGTGAAATTTGCTGCTTTCTCAGATACAATGATGGGACTGAGCACTAAAGCTCAGTTACTTTTTTTTCCTCTTTTCTTTTTTCTATTAGTTTGCCTAGAAAAATTAGTTATTTTTCGTAACTAACATCTGTATCAATTCCCTTTATCCTCAGAATGTTATGACTAAACCAGTATTATTTCCAGAAAAACCTTCGGTTCTTGTAAAGCAAAGCATTTCAAGGTGAAAGATATGATTTATTTTTTTTAAATATCTTCTATTTTTTTTAAACTAGCAGAAATACTTTGGCTACCCATGTTAAACTATTAAAACATTTGAAAAGAAAAGAGGTATCTCACAATATCTCATGATAGTTTGAAATATGTCCATTTTTGTGGAAAGATGTACACAAGAGGAATGTGACTTCTGTGTGAAACTATGAATGGCTCGTAAAACCTTGCTTGAAGAAAAGTAAGTAAGTCAGGGAGTTTGGAAGAGGCAATTCATGTAACTCTTTGCCTGTGACATTGGAGTGATAACAAGTTCTGTGCTGTCTAGGGAGGCAGTATGATTCCAGAGACAAAGGAAAGTTGAAACGTGTTTAAAACAAAGCCCCTTTTCACTTGCATGGAGACTGTTTTTCTTCATTTGCCTTGCATTTTGTTTGACCAAATCTCTCGTATGGGTACCAAAGAGCAGCACGTCAGAATTTGGTGGTGATTTCATTGTCTCTTTCAGACATAAAATTCCCAGCAGCAAATAAAATAAAATTCTATTGTTTATTCATTTTGTGCTGACAATATCCTAAGTGTGTGAATGATCTTGCGTAAAAAAATGTTCTGTCAATATATTAAATAAAACAGGCTTAATGTACTGATCAACTAGAGAACCCATAAAATCATCTTTATAGATGGTTAAGTATGTGTCCCCAGTTGTCTGTAGTTATGTTTTGAACAAAAATTACTGTGAAAGTTATGTAGCTTTGATGCCAGGGATGAAGGGGGTTTTTATTTATTATCAAACTTACCAGCATTTCAGGATCTTTCAGTAATCTATAACACTCAGATGTTAAAGAAGAGAATAGATCTCTACTGTCTGAGAGTGACTAGAAGAAGGCTTAATATGCCCTGTTGTCACTATTCAAAGCACTTCTATTTCCTTTCCTGCTATTCCAGAAAGAGAAATTTCCCATTTTTAACATAACAAGATTTAAGTTTTTTTTCTGCATGGTGTGCACAGCCACACATGCACACACATAAAAATACCAGTTTCATTTGCTTGTGTTAGAATCACTGGAGTTTTTTTCTTCCTGTTATTGTTTTCCCTTTCATACTGCACTGTCAGTTATCTTTCTAAATCTTTGAGAGGAAAGCTATATGCATCTATATGCATCTTTAAATTATTTAAAAAAATATAAATTCTCTTTAAGAATAACCTGGACTTTTTTGTGTCCCAAATCTTTTAAAATCTTTTGTTCTTATATCCTCTTCTTATTTAGCAAGACTAGTAGATCCATATCTTCTCTGTCTCCTATTTTGGGCCCTTCTGGGTCTTCAGAATTCAGTAATGACTTCTGGATTTGGTATTGTTTCCTCAGGTTTTGAATTCTAGAGTCTGCTCTCTCCTCTGCCTACTAACGCTTGCTTTTCCCTTTTATGGGATTTCGTTGAGATCAGTGCTTTGGGTAAGCCATAGGAGCCCTCTCACATACTAGACCATTTACCATGCATAGATCAAGGAAAATTAACAGAGATTTTAGTCATTCCTTCAATGGGACAGTGGTATCTTTGGTGTTCAGACCTTCTCTTTCACCCCAAGCAATAAATGGAGAAATAAATGGATTCTTGCAAAGCCCTGAAAATGTGACTAAAAAATAAAATTTTAAGGGATTAGGAACCCAATGGCAAGGCAAATGTTGCACCTGTGTTCAAAAAAAGGCCAAAAGATCAACCTGGGGAACTACAGGTCTGGCAGACTCGCTTGAGCCCATGGGAAGAACCATGGACTGAGTCCTCTTAAAACATATTTCTGGGCATGTGAAGGAGAAGATAGTAACTGGGAAGAGGCAGCTTGGATTTACCAGGGATAAAATCATGCCTGACCTGTCTGATAGCCATCTATGATTTGGGATGAGGAGAAAGCACCGGATGTCACTGGGTACCCAACTTCAGCAAGGTTTTTGACATTGTTTCCCATGATATTCTTATATCCAAGTTGGGACGTTATCATGTAGGTGGGTGGACGTCTAGATGGTGAAAAGCTGGTCAGCTAGTCAGACCCAGAAAGTCATGGTTAATGGGTCATACTGTACCTGGAGGTCAGTAGCAAGTGTAGAGCTGCTGCGTCTGTACTGGGACCTCTCTTGGTTGGTATTGGTATCAGGGACCTGGAGGAGGTAATGGACCGTGCACTCACCAACTGTGCAAACAGCAAATTGGGAAAGATCCATCAATACACTTTCGGTAGTCAGGCTATATTCCAGAGACCTGAACGGGCTGGAGGAATGGGCTGACAGGAACCTTGTGAAACTGAATAAGGGCAAGTGCCAGGAGCTGACCCGGGGACAGAGGAGCCCCTGCGATGGCACAGGCTTGGGATAGCAGGCTGGGAGCAGCTCTGTGGGAAGGGACCTGGGGCTTGGTGCCTCAGCCAGCAAAGATGGCCAACAGGACCATGACCAGGCAATACAGGGAGTGATTATCCCCCTCTGTTCAGCACTCATTAGACCATATCTCGAGTACCGCATCCAGTTTTGGCCTACCTGTTACAGCAAAGATATTGACAAGCGAGTGAATTTTGCTGAAGGCTGTCAAGGTAGACCCTATAGCAGTCTTCAACTCTGGTCTCAGGTTTCTCATCAGCACCTACACATTCCAATTCATGCTTTGTCTCTGGCTTCTTGATGGCTCTTACCGCTCATCTGCTCTCAATCTTTTTTGCAATGTCTTTGCCCTAGCATGTTCCAGTTTTTACTGCACCATATAAAATCTCTGTCTCTTAAAAAGCATTATTTCCAGCATATGAAAAGGAATGCTAGAGCTGTACACAGGGAGCATAAGAATTACAAAACAAAGCAAAAAAACCCCATCCACATTCAGCCCATTTTTTCCCTAGTCATACATGGCCAAATTCATATGGATGACATTTTTAAGAAATTAATTCTGCCTGAGGCAGATGTCCTGCCTGGAAAAGTTAACTATAAACACATAAAGTTTGCACAGAGTTCCACGAAACTGAGAAAAGATTTTATAATGCAAAGTGTTAAGCAGTTTAATATAGGCTGTGCTACCAGCTTGGGTTGTAGTAACATATTTTTCTTCCATTTGTGTTACTTGTAGTTATCTACTTGCATCAAAGGAAAATGGAAATAGATTGAATTGTTTATGCTGTAAATTTGCTGGAAGACTGTTTTTTTGTTGATAAGCTTTTCTAATATTTGGAACATAAAATAAAGTTGTGAGTTCTTATGAGGATGACAGTTACACTTTAAAGGCAGATGAGGATTTATCCTTAAAATGTAGTGATACTAATTGGCATGATAACTGATTTACTTCCCTAACTAATAAGACACTGCTGTTCCTCCATTAGGTTATGTATTTGATGCAGATTCTGAAACTGATCAAAGTTGTATGAATACAGAAATTGAAAAACACAGAATAATCACAAGACTGTCTTGATGTCACTGTGATAACTATGTTTCCAAATAAAACTTTATTAGGGAAGTAGACCACTCACTTTTTGATACGTTACATTTTATAGAAGGTTTTGCAACTTTAGACTCTACCTATTTATGTGGTTTTGTCGGTTAAAAGACTTATAAATGTAAATAATCTTAGAGGGAAAAAAACAGATTATAGTAAAAGTTGAGTAGTTTTGGTTAATGTTTTTATCTGTGCTATTTATACACTGGCCTAAAATATTTTTCTTCATTTTAAGGTAACCGAGCTGCACAATATCAAAAACATAACTAGATTGCCTCGAGAGACAAAGAAGCATGCAGTGGCAATTATCTTTCATGATGAGACGTCAAAGACATTTGCGTGTGAGTCAGGTAAGCAGTTGGTACTGCCATCTCTAGCTTGAAGAAATCACATTACGCATCAAAGTCTTGCTCAGATGAATTAACTTAAAGCACCAGACAGAAATCCTTAGCTTAAAGGAATTAGTTGTAAACAACAACTTTGGAGTTTGGGGTTGAGGTTTTTGGGGGTGTCCTGGTTTCAGCTGGGATAGTTAACTGTCTTCCTAGTACCTGGTACGGTGCTATGTTTTGAGTTCAGTATGCGAAGAACGTTGATAACACTGATGTTTTCAGTTGTTGCTGAGCAGTGTTTAGAGCAAGTCAAGGGTTTTTCAGCTTCTCATGCCCAGCCAGCGAGAAAGCTGGAGGGGCACAAGAAGTTGGCACAGGACACAGCCAGGGCAGCTGACCCAAAGTGGCCAACAGTGTATTCCATACCATGGGATGTCCCATTTAGTATAGAACTGGGAAGTGGGGGCAGGGAATCGCCGCTGGGGGACTAGCTGGGTGTCGGTCTGCGGGTGGTGAGCAATTGCACTACGCATCATTTGTACATTCCAATCCTTTTATTATTGCTGTTGCCTTTTTATTAGTGTTATCATTATCATTGTTAGTTTCTTCTTTTCTGTTCTATTAAACCGTTCTTATCTCAACCCACGAGTTTTACTTCTTTTCCCGATTTTCTCCCCCATCCCACTGGGTGGGAGGGGAGTAAGTGAGCAGCTGCATGGTGCCTAGTTGTTGGCTGGGGTTAAACCACGACAGGGGGTTTGGTAGGGGGTTTTTTGATATACTTTGGGAGGTGTTGGGGATGTTACAGAGCTCTTTCTTCCATTACTTGTCTTTGCACGCAGATGGTCTGAAGACTGGAGATTTTCAGCTAAACTTGTAACACTGAGTAAAAAATACCTATGGGATGTTACTAAGTCAAGATGTGAAACATTCTTTTTTTTACCAAGTTTTGCTATAGGCACTTACTAAACTAATAATTATCATGCCATTGCGAATAAGAGGTAAATACCAGCTAAAACCTCAGGATATTGTAAAGCTGGATGTCAAGCAGTCTGCGGTTTGAACAGCTACATGGTGAATGAGTTGAGAACAAACTTGGGCATCATGGTACATAATGACAGGTTGTTACTTGTGAGATGCAGAACGCTGCGCTATTAAAGGGCACTGTTTTCTTGTTTGAAAATGCAATTGTATATGTCTGTGTCCTAGGGTATATTTTACCTGAAAAAATTGTTCTTAAAAAGAATGAAAAAAAATTTAATGATAAAGTTTCTATTTGTTTAGTGACATATTTGAAACTGCATTTTAAAATAGTATCTTAATATTATCATATAACATTGCATGGTGTACAATCTAAGTTAAATACAGTGAAACAAAATTCAAGAAACATGGAGGAGGTAGGTTGAAAGTGTGTAAGGTCATGAATTTTGTGGCTTTTGGATCAAGTATTGCAAACTTTGATATGTACATTCCATCATGAAAGACGGATTGACAGAGTTTTGTTTGTTTATTAATTTAAATTTAAAAACACAGACATAGGAAATCTGTGGCTTTCTAAAGTCAGTTTAACAGATTATTAGATAAGTAGTTCACATTAAAGACTTTAATTTCTAATGTGTAGAATTACTAATGACACTGTAATATGATTAATAATTGAATAAAAACATTTTAATTATATTTCAACAGCACTGAAATCAGTTCTACAGAAACTTTCCCATTTGCCTACACCTGTATTCCCCTTGTTCTCTAATGAAAAGATGTTACTTCTTCCCTAGAATTACTATGGTGTAGGTATATTTGAAAAGAGTGAGAGCAAATCATAACTTCAGGATTCTTTCACCAAAGAAGGGGCAAACCTAAGAAAGGTCAGCATATCTGGCCCACTTATCCCTTTTTTCTGTAACAAACATGATGCAACTCCTTAACCTTGAACTCAGCTGTGTATACAAGACACAAGTACCTTACGGTGCTAACAAGATGCCAGTATGAGATGCCCTACCTTAAAAGGCTATGCTCTACACAAAGGTGTGTTTTGAGTGGATAGAGTCTTGGGTGAAGTGACAAACCAGTGGAGAGCTTGTGGGCAGAGGTCGAAAGACAGACCAACACAGGTGATATTCTAGTATCTGCTATAGACCTTCTCATCAACAAGAGAAGGCAGATAAAGCATTCTTAAGGCAGGTGGAAAAAGCGTCACAATCCCAGGCGTTGGTACTCTTGGGTCACTTTAGCCACAGCAATATCTACTGGAAGGTTGATATGGCTGGACACAAGCAATCCAGATTTCTGGAACAGATTGAAGACAGTTTCTTGATGCAGATGATCAATAATGTGATGAGGGGAGGCACTCTGTTCAGGGCCATCCTTGGCAGGATCCTGTGGATAATTTCCTTGGAGGGCAAAGGGGCCCAGGAAAGCTAGCTAATCTTCAAGGACAGCATCCTCTGAGCACAAGAACTGTCCTTCCCATTCTGCAGAAGACAAGCATTACAGAAGACCAGTATGGATGAATGTGGAGCTCCTGACTTAGCTCAGACACAAGAAGGGAAGCACACAGAAGCAGGGACCGACTTGGGAGGGATACAGAGGCATTGTGCATGTATACAGGAATGGAGCCAGGAAAGCTCCAGCTTAGCTGGACCTGAAACTAGCCAGGGAGGTAAAGGATAGAAAAGGTGTCTTAAAGTACATCAACAGCAAAAGGAAGGCTAAGTGAGTGTGGGCCCATTGCTTGGTGGGGCAGTGGACCTAGTGACAAGGGGCATGAGAAAGGCCTACTCAACGCCTTTTTTATACCTTGGTTTTCACTTGCAAGGCTTGTCTTCTGGCCTTCCAGGTCCCTGACCCTCTTAGCAGGCAGTGGGAGGGAAGCAGTACCCACAGTAGAGCAAGGCAGTCAGGCATCACTTAAATCACTTGGGTGTCATGCACGAGTCCATGGAACTAGATCGTCAAGAATGACAAGAAGGAGGATCCAGATAATTATAGGCCAGTCAGCCTCACCTCAGTCCCTTAGAACATTATTGGAGCAAATCATGTGTAAACACGTGAAGGACAACAAGGTGAATGGGCGTAGTTAAAATGTTTTCCATATGCAAATCATGCTTTCTATGATGAGGTGTCTGGCAAGGGAAAGGCAGTGGCTGTTATATACCTTGATTTCAACAGTCTTTGACAGCCTCCTATAGCCTCCTCCATAGCCCACAAATGGGTGGGACATGGGATGGATAAAGGCAGTACAAAGTGGATAGAAAATAGGCTGGGCTTAAAGAGTTGTGATTAATGGTGCAAAGCCAAGCTTGCGGCCAGTAGGTAGTGGATCCCTCCAGGACCAGTGCTGGGACCAATACTGTTCAATGTCTCCACTGACAACCTGGATGATGAGATGGAGTGTACTCTCAGCAAGGTTGCAGGTGACACCAGATTGGGGTGACCCAAATTGGGAAGGAAGGGCTGCTGTCAGAGGGACCTGGACAGGCTGGAGAAATGGGCTGACAGAAACCTTATGAAGTTCAGCAAGAGCAAATGAAAGGTCTTACCCCTGGGTTGGAGTAATCCCAGGCAACAAGGCAGGCTTGGGGCCAACTGTCTGGGAAGCAGCTCTGGCAGAAAAGGCCCTGGGGTCCTGGTGGACAACAGGCTGAACTTATCCTGGACTGCATTAGTAAGAGTGTTGACAGCAGGTACAGGGAAGCGATCCTTCCTTTCTATTCAGCACTTGTAAGACCACATCTGGAGTACTGTGTCCAGTTTTGTGCTCTCGGCACAAGAATGTTGACATACAGGAGTGAACCTAGTGGAGGACCACCAGCGGTCGAGGTCAGGGTCAGGAGCACATGACGTATGAATAGAGGCTGAGAGCTGGGCCTCTTCAGTCTGGAGGAGAAACAACTTCAGAGGATCTTATTGCTCCCTGCAACTCCCTGATCTGAGAACACAGAGAAGATACAGCTATAAAAGTGTGAAATACCTTGCTGTTTCTGAAAGGCTACAAATCTTAGCTGTGCATATAGTGGAGTTTCGATCAGTTTGCCTTTCTCCATGCTATCAGTCTGTCTAAACAGTATAAACTGCATCATCTCCATCAGATGAGATAGATACACTGCTTTGTTTCATTAAAACCTGACTCTTTTGAACTCCACATCTTTTGTGTGTTCTGAACTAGGAAGATAGGTCTAAAAAAAATTTCTTTTGCAGCTTGTTTCCACAACTGAGTTCTGTCTTCCCACAAGGAACTATTACCATTTTTACTGCTGCTGAAATGTGCAAAGTACTTTGCTTTCCTTTATGAAAGTTATCGAAGAATAAGGAATATTTAGAGAGCTGCTTCTTATTTAAAATGTTTTCTTCTTCTTCTCAGATCTCTCAAAAAATATTTAGTGGCAGTGGTTTCTATGGGACAATGCCTAGACTTCTAACAGCCTTATGGTGTGTAGTGGTGTACACACAATGGGGTTTATCTTGGCAAATCAGGCCACTTCTTTAGTTAACTCAATAATACCTTTACTCTATTAATACCCCTTCTTTCCCATGGCTTCAGTGGGAAAGAACCACTCAAGTGGTTTGACTCAGTCAAAAATTTTTTAGAATCATAGCTGCTTGACCTTCTTGAATTATTTAGGAGCCCAAAGTTTCATAATGTGAACATTTTTCCGCCATGGAGTCTCTAGATACACGGAAGCGGATGCTTTGTTTCCTATCATCTTGACCCTCAGAGGTGGACAGAAGGACAGTTAACGCTGAACCCTGAACGCTTTTTGAACGCTGAATTGCAAAAAGTCTGCTGAGCATAGAGTCAATAATTTCTTGGAAAGAAGGAGGAAGTAATGCTCAAAGCCGAGTTGGTTTTATATGGAGACTGAACAATGTCAGGTAGGGTTTTTGTCAGAGTTGTACCAGTCAATGTTTTAAGATAACCATATCATTTTGGTTTCGATAGTATGAGCTGATATCTTTTCTTCTGTGCAGCCTAGAAGTCCATGTGATAAAAAGTAGCACGTTTTTCTGGTACTTAGCTT